GTGAATGCTTGACTATTTCTTCATACATGAAGAGGAAAGGTAATTCTGCAGAAGGATGCTGAGAATACCATTTTGGTCCTCACTGTGTGACCCATACAGAATTCAACATTAAATAACGCAACAAGGGTTGGTATGTCAAAATCTGCTAGACTAACCCACCCCTTTAATGTTGAACAGCACTTCATTAGAAAGTAATTACCATAATCCTTCATGTATCACTAGATTTGGTTTGGTTTGTTTTACGGCATATCAACCTCAATGGGTTATTTAATGCTGACAAGATTTTTATTGCTGGTAATATTTTCTTTTTTCAAATATTTATTGCTGATACTAATTTTTTTTTAAAAGTATTTCTGGTATTAAAATCTATTTTGACACTTTCATAGTGTTTCGAGTCAAGTTGTGGGGTCAACTATTTGCCCATAGCTGGGACCCTAACAGGTGCTACCACCCCTGGTCAGGGTGGACCTGGGAACACCAGCAATTAAGAGGTGGTTCCACGCTCCTCAAACCTCCTGATCAGAGGCCTTGCTGCTGGAAGTAGTTTATCATCCTACCCAGGACACATGTATCATGAGGGAATATCAAACATTTAAATAAAGCAAACAAAATCATCAAAACTTGTGAAAAAGGAAGTGAGGGAAAAAAAAAAAAACGGAAAATAAAATTAAGATATTTTTCTTACATTTCTGGAGAGACACGTGTTTGAATTCCAGTTGAATCCATTATATTCACTTCCGTGCTAATACTCTTAGGAAAGGCATGAACCCTCTTCTCCCCCATAAGCTATGAATAAATAGCAGGACAGACCAGGTTCTATAGTCTTGGATGGCAACTGGTCTACCGCAGAAAGAAGTGGCAACCAACAGCGGGAAAAAAATCTGCCTCGTCAGTCATGTATCAAAAGATACATGATTGTCTAAGCATGTATCACACATGGTACATAACTGACTGAAATTCACTAACGTGCTAATACCCCTGGGAAAGGTATGAATCCTCTTCTCATCCCAGCTATGGGTAAATAGCAGGACAGACCGAGTTCTATAGCCTTGGATGGCAACTGGTATACCACAGAAAGAAATGGCAACCAACTGCAGGAAAAATATCTGCATTGTCAGACATGTATCGTAAGATACATGATTGCCGAAGCATGTATGGCATATAACTGACTGACTGAAGCATTATGAAAACATGATAATGACTCTTGGGGTATAAGAACACTAAATCAGCAATAGTCATTGCAAAAGTAAATCGAAATAAAATTATTTGTGTAGTCCTGAAAAAGATGGGTTGTGAAGAACCAAGGTCTTTTTTCCTGTGCTCATGAGCATGCAAGAAATGTGAGTGTCGAGAATTCAACAAAATCTTGGAAAAAAATTAAAGAATCATACAGGACTTAGGGAGACATTAGGAAAGATTGATTTCCGTTTGTTAAAATATGTCATTAGATAGATATTATCTTTCTAGTAAACAAATAACATTTTTTTTTTGCATTCTGGAAAAGACGAGATTGAATTCTAATATACAAGACACAGATTTTTGGACATGATTTTTGATAAAAAAAAAAAAAAAAAAAAAAAAAAACCCGTGTCTTATATACACAAATGATTACAGTATCTTTTTACAAATCGGAAAATGGGAACAGTAGCAAACATTAATAATAACTTTCTTTTTATCAATTCTAGTTTTGCCGATAAGAAAACTGAAATCCTACAACCCGACAAATCCTGAAAACATTCCAAATTATCAACAATAGAATCAATTTATCCTTTCGTCGTTTTTTTTTTTTTTTTTTTTTTCTACCAATCTAGATAGGGACCCTGCCCATCATGACAATGTCACTTTTCTTGAAAACAACAAAAGCCTCTCTGAAAGACAGGATTGAAAGTTTCTTCACAAGGAAAAAAAAATTTCTTTCAGATTTAAGGAAACAATGAAACTATTTGATGTTTTTTTTTTCAGCCGGCAAAAGAAGAAAAAAAAAGCAAGAAGAAAAAAAGAATAAAAAAAGATGAATGACGACAACTACAAGCAAAGTTTTCATCCATTGCTGTTTATCTTCAGGTGACACATCACGGACGAATGAACATTTTCATATAACACCATATATCTTGGGAAAATTCTGAGTTTGCATTTTATACACAAGATAATCAGTTGTTCTACACCCACCCCACAAAAAAATCTCTACTGAAACAAGTGTTGACTGACCTAATTTACCTAAAATGGAGAATGTGTCACCAAAAAATACCTTTAAAGTAATCTGACTTTGAAAATGTATTTATTTTTTAAATGGTTTCACCCCATGCAAGGTGAAAGTGCCATTGAAACAAAAGGAGTAATTGAGGATAATAGAGAAAACATTCGTGAGGAGAAAGGACAATAAAAGAACAGGGTTCAGGAAGCCAAAAGATGGTGATGTTGAAATAAGTTTTTTGAAGATTCTATCGGAAAGTGATTTTTATATGGATTATACACTAGAGAGTGATTTTTATATGGATTATACACTAGAGAGTGATTTTTATATGGATTATACACTAGAAAGTGATTTTTATATGGATTATACACTAGAAAGTGATTTTTATAGGGTCAATCAATGGAAAGTGATCTTTAGTGAGGAGAAAGGACAATAAAAGAACAGGGTTCAGGAAGCCAAAAGATGGTGATGTTGAAATAAGTTTTTTGAAGATTCTATCGGAAAGTGATTTTTATATGGATTATACACTAGAAAGTGATTTTTATATGGATTATACACTAGAAAGTGATTTTTATAGGGTCAATCAATGGAAAGTGATCTTTACAGAGAAAATGCACTGGAAAGTGATCTTTTACAGAGAAAATGCACTGGAAAGTGATCTTTTACAGAGAAAATGCACTGAAAAGTGATTTTACTATGAAAAATTACCTTGCTTCTTTTCTTATTAAAAAAAATAATCAGTATTTTTAATGAAGCTGAAAGTCACTATATATATATATATATATATATATATATACACAGACACACATAAGCATACACTTTCTTTGAAGAAAGTTCATTCACTGTTGTGCTAGACAGTTTTTTCTTGTCAGAATCTATTTTGCATATTTAAAAGTCTACCATTCATCCATGCTTTTTTCATCATATTACTGCCACATCGGGCCTGGGGCTTCTGATATGTATTCAGAGATTCTTGATGAAATTCAAAGAAGAATCTGCAATATTATTGGTCCTGATCTGGCATTTTGGCTTCAGTCACTTTCCCACCACCGTAATGTAGCTTCTGTATACCTTTTGTACAGATATTTTAAATGGTAATTGTTCTGATGAACAGCAAAAAAACAAAATTTACTAAGTGTTACAAAAGGCAAGAAATTTGAGAGAGCCATAACTGCCAATATCCTGAAGGGAAACAGCACATTGGAAAAGAATGGAAGCAAGATTTCTAGGAATCACAAAATTTTCAATTGCTCTAGTTGTGAACTGGGGCAGGAATTGGCTGGTCAACTTTAATGCCTTAAAAACAAAACTGCTCTTTATTAATCACCACAGAGATCCTTCCCTGTCCTCCATTAGAATGTCTGATGCTCAACTTCTCGAGAGCACCTCTCTGCGGCTGCTCGGTCTCACATTGACTGCTGACCTGAGATGGAACAAATACATTGAGTCAATAGCTTCGTCCACCACAAGGGAAGTTGGCTCCCAGTGCTGCAGCAGAAAATTTCTCTCACCGGAGTTGATCCTTCAAATCTACAAATCAACCATTTGCCCTTGCATGGAGTATTGCTGCCATATATGGTCTGGAGCCCCTTCTGTTCATCACAAGGTCCTTGATAAAATCCTGAGATGGGTATGCAATATAATTGACCCTGATCTGGCATCTCATCTGCAGTCGCTCTCTCACAGATGTGCCATCACCTCACTGTCTTTTTTACAAATACTTTCACAATAACTGCTTCGATGAGCTGCTTTCACTGGTTCCCTGACTTCATGAATTTAAGTGTTCAACTAGGCTGGCATCTCGTTCTCTCCCTTTCACTGTCGAAACTGTTAAATGCAGCCATCTCTTCTACTTCAGGTTTTGCACTTCTTGCCTGTGGAACTCTCTCCCCTTTTCTTGTTTCCCTGATAGCTATAATCTCCAACTATTCAAATGTAATGTCAATCGACGTCTCCAGTTGTCTTGATCTATCCCCTATCCTTCCCTTCATCCTTTCCTCTATCACTCCTCTTTACTCTTGCTCCAACTCTCTGTAACCCCTTGCATACTAGTGGCTTCCCACCTTGCTTGGGGTGAAAGCTTAAAAAAAAAAAAAAAAAAAAAAAAAAAAGAAAAGAGAGAGAGAGAGAGAGATGTCTGGGCTTGATACAGTGTAGGGTTCTTTAAACTGGCCTAAATTTCAAATCACCTTTGACCTGATAAATATCTTAATTCTATATTATGTATGATTTTTCCAATTCAAGAAAATAGGTTTTTCAAGTATGCTGTTATTTTTTTTTTCCAGTATTGATGACAGGTTTCCTTCCTAACCTTTTGTTTGAAGTAGTGTGGAACATCAGCATCTCCACGTCATTATTTTCTCTTCGAGATGTAATATCAATTTCATTTGTTGCTACAGTTGAATCTTTTCAAGTGAGATGGTGTCTGTTATCTGGTACAGTTCTTTGTAATTCTATAGCAGGTTTGAACAAAGCTGGTTGTTATTAAGCTTCATTCGCTCATAGCCACTTTTAACTTTCGATGTGAGAAAGCATATACAGCTGACAGTTTAAAATGATTCATTTTTGTAGTTTATCAACCCTTTGCTGGTTATTTAAAAAGTCAGAAAATATTTTTAGATTGTAAGAATTTATTCTTGAGATAATAATTATTCAGTGGTACAAGTCTTACTAATTAACCCATAGCTGGGGTGAGAAGAGATGGATCCATACTTTTCCCAAGAGTATTTGTGTATAAGCGAATACAATGAACCAAACTGGAATTGGAACTAAGCTCTCTTATTACTAATTGTGAGCCATTATTCATTACACCACCTGGTATTTCTGAGTGGTTACCCATCTAGGTACTGACCAGGTTCAACATTGCTTAACTTTAGTGATCACACAGAAACAGGTGTTTCAACATGATATGGCTGTAAGTTTGGTTTGTTTTACAGCATATCAACCATAATAGGTTAATTTAATGCTGAAGATTTTTATGCTGGTAATTTTTTTTTTCTTTTTTCAAAAATGTATTGCTAGTAATAATTTTTCAAAAAATGTATTGTTGGTATTAAAACCTATTTTTACACTTTCATAGTGTTTTGACCCCTTTGGAGGGGGGGGGGGTTAACTATTTACCCATAGCTGGGACCCTGATGGGTGCTACCACTCCGGGTCAGGGTAGACCTGGAACACCAGCAATTAAGAGGTAGTTCCACACTCCTCAAAACCTCCTGATCAGAGGCCTTGCAGTTGGATGTAGTGTATCTTCATACCCAGGACACGGATGAAGTGTATCTTCATGCCCAGGACACGGGTGTAGTTTATAGCCATACCCAGGACACGGGTGTAGTTTATAGCCATACCCAGGACACGGGTGTAGTTTATAGCCATACCCAGGACACGGGTGTAGTTTATAGCCATACCCAGGACACGGGTGTAGTTTATAGCCATACCCAGGACACGGGTGTAGTTTATAGCCATACCCAGGAATGGCTGTAAACCTGACAGTTTAGATATTTTTCAATGAGTTTGATACCATGTATGACATCCATGTGGTAGTCTTGATCTGAGTGGCTAATATAAAAACATGACTAGAATTTTTTGGTTAATGCTTTGGTTTTGATTCAATGTGTGGCATTGGACGAAACTGCCTGAAGCAAAGCTCAGTTTCCCTATCTCTGACATTAAAGGAATCTTCAACAGAAAATCAAGAGCTGGTATGGTATTTGAAGTGAGAACTGAACAGGGATATCTTTCTGGTCTACTCCATAAAAAAATACTTCAATTATCTACACTTCATATGCTTCCTTAGCTCTGGGTTATGGAAGTCAAGGGTGTGGATATCTCTTGCATATAATCGCAATAACTTTTTAGAATTTGAAGCAGGTAAACTAAGTTTGTACCAGCTAAAATTAATAATTTATGTGGCTTACATTATGTTTCAAACACAAAAAATTTACACAGTGTTTGAAGCAAACCCCCTTGATATGAAAATTATAAAGAAACATGCATTCCAATGACTAGTGTTTATTTCTCTGTCATAGTATAAAAACAGAAATGAACATTAATACTATTGGTTGGTGACGGACATGTTTTGGGGTTTTTTTTTGTTTTTTTTTTTGAGGAAAGTGTACAAGATTCTTGAATGACGAAGACATCAAAGATAAAAACATCTACTAGGCTAACAAATACTGTGGGTTACCCCACTTTACTAAAAGCCTGCTCACTAGAGGAAGATCCTGAAGCCTATAAATAGGGAATGATATTCTCTGTCATCCTCTTTCCTGTTCTCCCTTAGACAATAAGATGTAGTTGTATGTTGGAAAAAAAGGTGTCCCCCACAATGGCACATGCACTTTCAGTTTCAGTCTAACCTACCCACGTTGTGACTTTGATCTTAGGTAGACGAAATCAATCAGGCGTCTGGCCATAGTGCAAGCTGAATCTGGGGTAAAGGTGATACTGCACAAGTGTAAGTAAAAAAAACAAAAATAAAACAAACTCAAGAGGTTCAAATATGTTGAGAAATAACAATTATCTTTATCTATCTGTTGAATACAGGAGCGTGTTTCTCTCCCAGCCCGTTTCTATGGATTCGTGACACTTTTTACGTTTCTTAAGTGAGCTATGGTATCTTAAGTCGTTTGTCAATAAAAACTTGCCTTTGGCAGGAAGATTAAATCGAGAGGATATGGAAATCTTTCGGTCAGCTTCTGCGAGACAACACTCTCCAACTTCTCGAACTCACTCCAAACTCGAACTGTCTGGAACTGACTGCAAACTCAAACTGAACTGGAACTGCCTTGAGATGTTTGTTTATATGGACACTGACCAAACCCCGTTTGTGGGCCTGACGTGGTTTGGGTTCCTTGATAATTTTTAATTCCCAACAAGAATTCTTTTTGTTCTTAGGCCAGGAAAATTAATTACTTCCCATTTTTGGAAGATTAATCACTTTCCACTTCAGGGGTTCCTCCGTTGTCCATGAGGGAAGGTCGGAGGAGAGTTATCCTCCTAGACACTTCCTCTCTCACATTTGTATCTCATACCAATCCCCTCAGTGGGTGTTAACAACTTCTCCGTCTTTCTCATACATTCACCTCCTCCTATCACCCATGCTACCACTTGACCAATGATCTCTCGGCAGTGTGGGTGTGGCTAGACTGGCCTTCTTAAAATTATCATCCAGAATTTTGTTTACAAAATCCTTTTTTTTCTTTTTCCTTTGGCCAAAACATTTACAAGCCCCAGATTGCCGAATAATTCTTATCACATCCTGATTTTGGGGACACCCAAAAATCCACATAGCCTGGACCTCTACTGACTCATTAATCACTGTCAAAACCCGATGCCTGGTTTTTCCGCTAGTCAACTTTTAACTGGGTGGTCGTGTTTACCTGAGAATCAAATTCTTTATTTTTCTCATGCCTTAAAATTCATTTATCACCAGATGCTCATTTTCGGGGACGCTATGTCTGAAGTCATCAGTTTGAATAAGCAATAATAATGATTTCCTTTACAATTCCCTTCTCAAACCCAGATGGCTTCCTTTGCTGGAACCAGGAATTAAAATTAAATGATATCTCTGAAAGATAATTAATATCTATTCTCCAGGGTGGCCTCAAGCCGAAATTTTCCATGGTCGCATACATCAGCTGGCTTTGTTTTTCTATCTGAATTCTGTTTCTCTTGGTGCGATATCCCCTCGTATTATGACATTAATCAGTATTGACAATCTCACTTTTTCTTACGGATTTTCTGTCTTTTCCAAAAAGTATCTTTTCTTTGTAAATAAAATAAATTCTTTTTAATGTCACTCAGTCTATCTTACGATATAACTCTTTCTCGCCTTAAGTATTTCCCGTTTTTAATTTCTATGGTTAATTAGTTAGCCTATTACCATAGCTAAATAGTGTCACAAAAACAAGTGATTTCTTTTCCGGACTTTCTTTCAGAAACTGTCCAAATGTTTGTTGGCTCATGGCCATCTCATATTGAAATACTGGTATGATCACCAAAATTAAGCAACTTTGAGCCTGGTCAATATCTAGCTCGGTGACCACCGAGAAATAGTAGATGCAGTAAGCTTGAATGTGCAGGTGGTATAATGGAGAGGAATTGTTAATCAGAGAGCTGAATTCTAATTCCAGTTGGATTCATTATATTCATTTACATGCAAATACCCTTGTAAAAAGGGTATGAATACACATCTTCTCCCTTCTGCTATGGGTTAATTAGTAAGACTTGTGTGGGTTACCCCACTTGACTTTACTAAAAAAACTGTCGCTAGGCGACACTCATTAAGCCTATAAATAGACAATGATATTCCCACTCATTGTCTTTCCTTTTTTTTTCTTTTAGATAATAAAATTTAGTCACATATTGGGGGGGTCCCCCCCCCCAACTGGGGCATGTTCACTTCACTTTCAATGTATTACTTTTCTCTCAGACTTGTCCTATGCAAACTTCATACACACAAGCACATTCTCTTGTTTAAATGTTCTCTTTTATTATCATTGTATGCTTTTGTTAATAGACACAATGTTGGTTGTTTTATATACTGTATTGTGTCATTCATTTATTACTTAGACTCACATTAGAGTCCTTAATAACTCTTACTGGAGGGGGGAATACAAGGAGACACGTGTTTTCTACCAAAACAAAACTAGCACTCCCACAACAAGATAAAACTGCCATCACTGAATACAGTAAAGTAGCCGGAAATTTGCTTCACATGAATAATAGTTTCTTTCTTTTTAAAAACAAAACTATATCAACAACCTCATGGCAGAGCTCACATCATGTTTTCCCAAATATATGCAATGATAAAACTCAATTTTAAACCTTTCAGGTCCACATTCGTGTAATTGATGTATACAGCAAAAAAATATTGTTTCAGTAGACATATCTAAATTACTTTTACTTAATAATAAATAATATTATTGAATGTATTATTATAAATATAGCAATGGGACACTATGTCCGCTTTATCCCCATATCAATGCATTTTGGGGACAATTATGCCCTGCAGGATGTGTTGAAAACATCTGTGGAACACATAAATCCCAGGGGTCTCTAAAAAGCTAAGGCATGCTATATTTTTGGTAAAAGTGAACAATACACAGAACAGAGTGTGTGTTTAAATATAAGAGTGGACACTGAGGGCAACAAGTACTGATTATCTTCAGATCATATATATATATATATATATATATAATGTAATAAATAATGTCACATTCAAAATACATACATGCATGCATACACACACAGATATATATATATATATATATATATATATATATATATAAAAGAGGCATACAGAGTTATATATATGAAAAATTTCCAATAGAGTATATCATTGAAAGGACAATATAAATAAAGACAAATGGAAAACTTATCTTAACCAATGCATTTCATCCTCTGAGGGACTTTATCAAGGCAAATGTCAGGATTTTGTGTCAGGTATTTATATACAAGAGAAAAAATGTTATTGGTTTTTTTGAAAATTTTGGATATCAGGGTGCTCATGAATCTTGTAATTCTTGTGCTGAGGATTTTAGGAATTTCTATGTGTAGAGAGGAAATATATTAATATCCACACATTCCCTAACCCAAGCTAAATTAAACTAACCAACCATGTTCTATCTTATTAGGATAGAAAAACAGATGGGTATAGAAACAGGCAGACTTACAGAGACAGCTACAGAAAGAGAGGGAGGAGGAGATGGGGAGAGGGGAAAGAAAGAGAGAGAGCCGTGAGGGAAAGAGACAGAGAGAGAGAGGATAGAGGGAGAGAGAGAGAAAGAATGAGAGAGAAAGAAAAACAGGAATGCAACTACATGGTCCATATTGGGAGAGAGAAGAACCAGAAATTTCTACAGACATACAGAGAGAGGGGAAGAGGAGGAGGAAGAGTTTTCTATAGGCAGATAG